TTAATTGGAGCAAAATTAAGAATGTATGTTTGTTAGTGCTTTTGAAAGGAGGAGAAGTTGGCGCCGCTGTTTTTAAAGTTTTATTCTGAACAGTAGATTTTCGTTATATGTGAAGGAAGAAGAAGAAGATGATGATGATGGAATGACGACTAAGGCGTAGGAGGTTCTAAAGATTCAATATTCGTATTTCTTGATTTATTAGATGATAATTGCTCAATGAAGAGTATTTAATGAAGCAGAATTTTCAATTAAAATTTTTTGAAGTTGATGAATCAGCGAAGTTGCACTATTATTTGAGGAGTTATTTGAGGAGATGTTTTGTCGACATTTTGTCATTGTTGCCAGAAGTGATGCTGTTGTGGCTTGTCAGGATACTTTGCAATCCTACGACAAATACTAATAGTTAGAACAGTTAGAGGTCATTGATGTAGAAGATTTTGTAGTATTATTCGTAGAATTGTTCAAATTTGGTTAGGATAAAACTTAATGTAGACAAGAATTTTCATTAATCCTTGTTGCTCTTGGTGCACAAGAATTATGTTTTCCATAGTGTGTTCAGCCTTCAAACCATAATTTGATTTTAACCTCTAACGCAAAATACCAATCATCAAATAATCTGCATAAACAGATGAATACTATTACTTTACCAATACTCTCTTGTTATTCTAAACCAAATTTATGATAGTGGTGACGATAGAAGTATGGTTGTGAAGATCTTTTGGTGAAAAAGTGAAAAGATCAACTAGGCTAGGTAAACGTATAATATTGATCGGTAAAAGTAAAATCGCTATAAAAAATAGACAACTGCAAATTGTTATGCGATAATTTACCTCTTTTATTTTTTATATAAAAAAATAAGAAAGAAAAACGAGAATTAAATGAAAGAAGTTCAAGTTCGTTCGTTCGTTCTAATAAAATAAAATAATTAAGAAATAGATAATTAGGCGATAAGGCAACTTTACTGCCTCATCTATTTACAGTACCGGTATATTAAAATCTTTGAACTAGAATTCTACTGCGGCAATTCTTTAAAATATTAAGGGTGGGTGATGGGAAGTAATAAATATTTGATGAAATGTGTCATAAATGATCGAAATAACCTATGGGACGAGGGTTGAGAAAAGAAACCAAATTGTAAAAAAAAATTTTTCTTTTCCCACCTGATAATTAATAACGGATCTTTAAGTATTATATTTTTCTTTAAAAAAAAAATTTTTTTTCTTATATTACAGGACAAGATATGTAATAGATAATTATTCCTACTTTAATCTTTTACAATAAAAGAAATGGACAATACATATCGATAATGTTTCCAAGCTTATATTCTACTCAAAGATCATATCATATTCATCTTCGTTGTAGTAATATTGTTAATCAGAATTTTCTTAATAGGTATCGTTATTTCGTATTTCGCTTCAGTACGGCTGCGGAAATTCAATATTTCAGCATATTTCAAAATAAAATCAGGGAAATGATCGAAAGCATTTATAATAACTAATTTCTGAATATAACATTATCGTCTAATAATCCATCTATTTTAACATTGAGATTTCTATGAAAGATAATGTGGAATCTTTTTTATGCTTCTATTTTTTTTTTTTTTTGTAATTATTCTTTATTACTAAGCTACTTTTCGGGTTCGATCGTTTTGAAGTACGCGAAATGTTAGTTTCATTTTAATTTTTTAATTTTTTCTTTCACTTATGATCCGCAGCATAGAAAGAATTTTATTTCATTTTTCTTTAAAATTATAAGTACGCGGTATTTTTTTTTTTGATCATTGCATCATCATAAGATACTGTATTCCTCGAAAATAAGCAACACCTTTTTTTTTCACCATGATATAGTAATGCGGGGCCAAAACTCGTTATAGTGCGGACCATGTGGCTTATTTTTGAAGGAACACGATAGTTATACCAGTTAATCAACATCACATGATTTATTTTTTAAAACTTGGCATTCCTAGTCTTAATTTATTTAGGAGAGCTGAAGAAGAGAACCAAAAGAACCGTTCCCATCCCTAGTGATTAATGGTCAAAAGACATTTTAAATGATCACAATCGCCAACATTGAAAAGTGACGGTAATGAAGTTAAAAAAAAATGTATCATTACTAAATTTCCATTAAATAGAAAGTTTTTACGGAGAAAAACTCAACGAAATTAGAAACCACACAAACCAAAGCCACTATTAAAATTCCTTTACCCTTGTTATAATATATTAATAGCATTTGTGTGATAAACATAATTTATCTACAATTTGATCTTTATGCATGATGAAATAAATGATAATTTCAACAGGTATATCAATATGTATTCAACTTGCAATTCTTTTATCGATTCTAAACATGTACCTACATTACAGATTATTAGAAAATTAAAAAGACATTTCGCCTAGAATATTGATTTCTAATGGTTAAGCATCAACCGAATAGGGTTATCATGATCGGTCAATGTTT